TTAACCGGGCTGCCAAGCATACGATTGTACAAACATTCAGTCTGATGACACGCTTGGCACTGTCGGCACACTGAAACAACCGACCACCCTTTAGGAGGAATTCACAGAAGCTCAGTCTTGTTCAGGAATTTGTTTTGATTGTTTAGTGTGTTTTTTCTTTTGCTGGAAACAAGTTTTTATACGTGGTAATGCATCACTAATGAGTGCCTTTTCTACCAACGCTCACCATTTTTATGTGTACGTAGAAAACAGTACACTCTACCAAAAAGTCATGTAAATTTTCGTGCCCTGAGACCGACACATGCAAGCGGCCCAAATGTCATAAGAATCAGTTGAAAGAAACGAGAAAATAAATTCAATCGATCGTACTTTTTGGCGAGTTGCGTATGTTTCGGTTTGGGTACCCTTAATTTTACATGACATGTTTGTTTACGTTCCATAATTTACGTCAAAGATGAATTACGTCTCGTGTAAAAATAGTTATTTTTAAGTGTGTATGTATCAACATTGATTGATATATGATGTATTGAAAACCAACTTCTAAAAGTGGATACAATATTACACTCATTAAAATGATTTGTTCACAAATTCTGTGTAAATCATACGGCGTAATATTGCACAACAAGCGGAATGACCAATCAACCGTTTGGGTGTATTATTCAACATCATTTTTTCTGTATTTGGCAGATCATTCAATCAGGGCCGGTATTAAATGTTGGTCCGAGTTGGAGCTGCTGCCATCCTTCATGTTAGTGTGTAATACAATCTTCTGTGACTTTTGTAATTGAACCTGTTTTTGTTTCAATTATTAAGTTTCTGATATCTATTCACCATTAAATACATACACTCAACTATGTTCATGAGTGAAACTTCGCAATTACTTGTTTAAATAAACTTAAATTCATTGCTTATCGCAAACCATCTGAGGACGGATTATTTTATATGGATAGCTGTCATAACGATTTTTTTTTTTTTTAATAATTATTGTAGCACTGCAAAAACTTTTTCTGTTCGCCACGATGGTGATGATGGATTTTTAATATTTGATTTAATAGTGGATTAATTAAAAAAAAAGTAGTCTACAAAAGTTTGAACCTCGCGCGCGTATTACGGATATAGAGGGCTGAATTTAACATTTGATAAAAAAAAAAAAATGCAATTTTGAAGCTTATTTGGAAGATACCTTGAGTTAGTAGTAAGTTTTCTGGCAAATGTTGGGGGTTCGTGAGCATTCCTAACATTGCTGAAACATATGATAGCATCAGATTGCGGGGTCGCAAGTGTAATAGGATGCTTTTTGATTGTTCATTATCTCTTGATTGCTTGTAATACTTATGAATATTTTAGGTGGACTAAGAGGTGGAGTCGAGTTTCGAACGCCTTTGGATACGGTTGTGTCTAAATTTGCTCTCTGTTTTGTGCGTGCATTCTCTTTCATAGTTTTCGGCTGCATTTGCCGGATTAGCGCTGGCACTCTGCCTCCCGGACGGTTATACGTGTGTGAGTGGTGGTTTTCTCGCTTTCCGAGAAGTTTTAGAACCAAGAAAGAAAACATGATTCATCATGTTTGCAAAATTGCAAGCATCAGAAGATTTGGCGCTGCGTGGTTTGATTGTTTCTCCCGGACAAAAAATTCGAGGCATCGCGAGTGAAAATTTTAATTTCTGTTTATTTACGCGGTGATGAGAACGGCGCTGATCTATTGTTAAGGCCGGCGCACAATTGGTACGTTTTCGGGTTTTTTGACAGATAATGCATGGGCTAACTAAAAATCAATAAAAAAATCAGATTGACCGCCCACGGTTGCTGCTCTGTTATTACCAGATCAGCTGCAATTACACAGAGAACCAACAGATGATGTTTGGGACTAACATTCATCCTCAATGTGTAAGAACTGGAGATCTTATATTTAGCAATACCAGCGCCGGCCGTGTCCGAATGCAGGTCAACTAGGGAATGGGAAGGAATGTGTTGACGTGGTACTCGCTGTGAAGGAAACCGAGAAATCCTCTGCGCTTCCACGAGAAATCACTGGGATGTTGGATGTGAGGAAAGGTTGCACACGCACACGCAGGAATCGTTTTTTGGTTGAGCGATTATAATACACAAACACACACACACACGCGCGCGCACTCATCCAATTTCTATTTTTAGATCAGGACCCATACTGTGGTAAGTGATGCGATCGGTGTTAAAGAAGAATTTGTTTTCATTAAAATCTAGTGGGTATAGAATAAGGCAAAGTGAAAAATTGCAAGGAAGGGGACGGGCCTGGGATTGAACTCCCGACCTTCTGCTCAGTAAGCAGAAACGGTAACCACTGAGCTACCGAGCCTCGTCTGACAGATAATGCATGGGCTAACTGTCAAAAAACCCGAAAACGTATCTATTGTGCGCTGGCCTTTAAGTGGACCGTACACGATTGTTTTTATTGACAATAATCGTATTGTCAATACATTCTATATTAACGTCAATACATCGGTATTGACTATAATTCTGTATTCACATCATCAATATAATTGTCAATAATTCCCCTCCGCGTCAATATATTGATACGTGTGGGGTTCGCTTTAGGGTTTTGCGATGTACATTGCTTTTGTGCACGGAGTGTCTTGAAAAAGAAATGTGAAGAAAAGTGATATTTGGTTGTTGTGTGGTTGGAGTGGAGAGAAAATATGCGTGGAAGCATCGGGAATGCGCTCCCGGGTGAAGTGATTTGGTGAGTACGTTCCAGTTGAAGATTGTTGACAAGTGTATTTGTGGTGATGCAAATTATGGTTTAGATGACCCATGGCTTCAAACATTTTGTGTATCCAAATAAAACATATTACATACTAAATACGCACAGGGCATCGTCTGCTGACCATTGCCGCGGGTATATCGTGGGAGTCCCAGGTACCCGGTTCAAGCTTTAGTTGGCGGCGGTGGCTCTTCTTGACCTTCTATCCCCTGAGTAGTTAGTGTGAATAAGGGCGTCTATGTGATGTTTTGCTGTACCTGTTGTGGACATCTAGTGCATCCTGTTCCCTTAACTTGTTGAGGACACCCTGTTTTGCCTCAAAAGTTACCCTTTTTGAAGTACTAGTCTTCACAACATAAAGGGCACCATTACGGAGCATGAGATTTGATCAAATTATTCGCAGTTCTACTTGTCCAACGCCCCCGGCTGGGTGAGGGATAGAGGATGACACACACACACACACACACACACACACAAAAAGGCAAACTAAGAGGTGGACGCCTGAGCTTTTCCACATTTATATCGCTATGAAGCAACTCTAAACTCTAGAGGGAATTTATATCTGTAACTGAAACCAGTTCGATTTTGTTTGCCAACCTGGTTAAAATGTCATATTCAATTATCTTAAAGATAAATCGTCCAGCTCAAACCTTTGTAGGGGTAAGAGGTGGGTCCATCATCATCATTATCAACGCTTTTTCAATGATAATTTTACGATTGCTATCAAAGCAGTAAAGTTGAAGTGGTTTTCTTTGTGTTCAATTTTGTTCACCAAGAGTTTTGAGAAGCAGTTGTTTCGAGTTTCGTGTATTCGATTGCGTATTATTGTGCTATGTTTCGAAGAAAACAAGTAAGTAGATACAGTGAATGTGTTTTACCCTGGAAATTTTCGTTCTATAATCATGAAATACATGTTTTAAATATTCGTATTAAGGTGATACGGCACGTCATGCAACAATGGCTGTCACAACAATCAATAAATAAATGTGTTTTGGTATGCGTACGAAAGACATCTTCCTACAAAATAGTAAATTACTTATTACATACCTTAAAAATGAGCCATGATTAAGATCTGGACACAAATTATAACACTTTTCCATCAAATTATTGGCAATTCATTCACGCATTCATAATATTTGCATTAAAAAGTACGATCAGTCGATTTTCTTCTGCCATAACATTTCAATACATGTTTTCACTAGCTTTCACTTTTCAGAACCACACTCAAAACAATTACGACACGTGCTTTTGCAAGCACTTTCAACAAATCTTCAAACAAAGATTCCCAAATTTTTTTAATTCGGTAGCGAACGTTTCAGCTCAATTGATCTTAAGAGAATAAAATTACAACATGTCAAAGTTGTCAATTTTGTATGAAAATTGGCATGCGCTGCTTAATATTTGCTAATTTTGTGAGAAAAAAAAATGCATTCCCATTAATTAAAATACAATAAACTGTTTTTTGGTTTTGTATGAAAAATATTACTTTGAAAAAAAGTTGCTTGATCACTACAGGCTGTTGTACATTAGGGTGCTTCATTCTGAAAAAAGTGATGAATTTCTGATGGGCCACCCTCCAGTTCGATTCATAGCCCCAAAATATGAACCTGTGCAAAAATTGGTAAAGATTGATGAAGGTTTAGAGGTCGCGCCAATGATTTGAAATTTGTATGGGAATTACTATGGAAGAATTTAAAAAATCGCTTATATCGCTATAACTTTGCTTCTACTTGTCCAAATGTCGAAAAAAATTAGTATGTTATTGCTATGGCAATAAACAAAAAGCCTACAGTTGCTACGCTCAGTTTTGCAGCGTATCAAGAATTATAAAAATGTGAAAAAATGGCAAAATAGGGTAAATTGACAAATGAATATGTACAAGGCAACAACGCCAATTTCATCGCAACAACAACAGGCTTGTTGATCATTGTCATGACAACCACATATTTTTTTTTTTCAACGTTTGGACAACTACAACCAAAGTTAGAGCAATGTAAACGAAAATCAATAATTTCCCATACTAATTCACCAAAATCTCCATACAAAATCCAAATCATTGGCGCGACCTCTAAACCTTCATCAATCTTTACCATTTTTTGCACAGGTTCATATTTTGGGGCTATGAATCGAACTGGAGGGTGGCCTATCAAAAATTCATCACTTTTTTCAAAATGAAACACCCTATTGTACATTCTACCATTACAGTTGTCGTAAGAAACATCCCTGTAAGAAATACGCTTACTTTTGCTTGAACACTTACCCTTCATCCGCCGCCACTGCTCCTTCAGCCGGTTGCAGTTCCTATCGGTGCCGAACGCGATCGCAAACTGCTGGTGGATGATCTTCCAGGCCCGGTTCTTCAGCGACGTCAGCGCACTGTCCAACCGTTTGTTCTCGATAATGTGCATATCCTTCCGGCATAGTTCCAGCAGAAAGTGCTTCTCCTCGTAGGCCCAATTTTGCGTCCGCTCGCGCTTTTTAAACCGTTGAGCCGAACCCAACGTGCTTTGCAGCATGTCGACGATCGTTTGCGATTCCAGATTTGAGGCCGGTTTTTTTTTCCGATACCAATTATGCCCACTATCACTTTCAACTAACACAGATTTTCGCTTTGTTTTAACGCCACTTTCTTCTTCTTTGTTTACTTCTTTTATGTTTGTTTTTTTTTCTTCTTCGGTTGGGATTTGATTTTTGGTGCTCTTTGGTCGTCGTTTGATGATAATGTTGCGCTCCTACTGCAATTGATGGTTCTTTGAAGTCGGAAGCCGATTTGGTTCACATTTTGTGGAAAACTGCCTGTGCGAGTGATGAAAATCGAGAAGAAAAAGAGAAAAATGAACTACTTTTCCCACTTTACGCACCGATTGGTTGTGCTTGCGGTGATGATGATGATGATGATGATGATGTTTGAGGATTTATGTCACGGTTAAACGCTGTCGAAAATGGTATTGAAAAACCAACCGATTGAAGGAAAATGCAACGAGCTCGAATTCGACCGAAGGAAAAAAAAACTTATTTGAATACGCCGAAGATATGTGCAATTGACTTTGCGGAACGGGTAATTTATGGTGCGCGGAATGATCATAAAGGCCTCGTCCGAACCAGAAAAAATAGGATGCCTAAATATTAGCTAAAACTATCAATTAATGGGTGTGCGCAGGTATGTGAGCGTTTTCTTTCAGCGATATGTTATTAATTGAGCTCCGAACCGATGGCGATGGATGCTTGCGAAAATGCGAAAATAGGAAGCAGGCTATGCACTGGCTTGTTTCTGATGTTGATGCTCAATGATCCATCATCAAGGGGGTTGGGTGAGAGAGGAGGGGGAAAGAAGGTGGGTGGGAAGAAGTAAGGGTGGTGAGTGAAAACATTTTGACTGCCCGTTATGAAAATTAAGTTCCCCTAAGTTATGGTAGACGGGATGATTGCGATCATTATTGGTTGATATGTTAAACGATGGTCATTTTTATGGGAATGGTGCCAGTTTTTGCAGCATTCCTGGAGAGTTTTGAAACTGCCACCGGAAAAGTGTATGATTCTCTTACAGTTTTTTTTTTTCTAAAAATATAAACAGAACGTGGACATTCATCAAAAAAGTATGGGAAAATATCATGAAATCAAATCTTACCAATGCCCAAGATAACGCTTGATTTTCGTAGACAAAAATCAAGAAACAGAAAGTACACTGGACGAGTACTTCTTTATCGCGCGTCTCATCATCGATTGTGCGTTGCGAGCACCGACGAAACGTGTTCGGGGTGTTTCCGTTCGCAAGCGACCTCCCACTCTGTGGTGGGATAAGGATTGAACCGAGAAGTTCACCGCGTTTAAACACTTCCGCAAGCATGGTAAGGTCGGGGATTTCGAGCGACCTCCGACCGACCTCGAGAAAACTTTTAAGGTCCTGATTAAAGCCAAAAAACGCGGTCAATGGCGTCGGTTCGTCGATGGTTTGTCGCGAGAGATTTCCATGAGAACAGTCTGGAATGTCGGCTGGAGAATGCGAAACGCGTCATCACCGGTTAACGAAGAGAAGGAGTACTCAGACAGTTGGATATTCAGCTTCGCGTGGAAAGTTTGCCCGGATTCGGTGTCGGTTCAAACCAACGTTCGTGATCGTCCGTCGGGTAGTAACGAAATAGATTCCCCGTTTTCGATGGTGGAATTGTCGCTTGCTCTCCTGTCATGTAACAACTCAGCTCCAAAAATAGATAGAATCAATTTCTACTTGCATAAAAATCTCCCAGACGTCGCGAAGAGACGCTTGTTGAACTTATTGATCAATTTCTGGAGCACAACATTGTCCCGGATGATTGGAGGCAAGTGAGAGTTAAATATTGCCATTCGAAAAACCTGGTAAACCCACGTCGGATTATAACTCTTACCGTCCCATTGCGATGCTGTCCTGTATACGGAAATTGTTGGAGAAAATGATTCTGTTTTGTCTAGAAAAATGGGTCGAGTCGAATGATTTACTTTCAGATTCGCAATTTGGATTTTGGAGAGGCAAAGGAACGAGCGACTGTCTTGCGTTGCTTTCGCAAAAACAACAAATGGGCTTTTGATTCTGTTTGTATCGACGTCCTTTCGGATAAATTCCACGATATTGGGCTTTCACCAATTATGAACAAATACTTTAGCAACTTGTTGTCTGAGAAATATATGAGCTTTTCTCATGGAAGCTCGACAACTTCACGAATTAGGTCACTTAATGGGTCTCCCCCAGGGCTCATGATTAAGCCAGAGTTCTGCATTTTCGAAACAAAGCAAAGAAAATGATTTCTCCGCAGAATCGCTTCATTTCGAGCAATATCATGTTCGTGTAAGTCATCGTGTTTCTTGTTATCGAGTCACGATGAACATTCCTCTTTTAAAACATGACTGGACTATCACTTGTTTCGTTCGTCAAGTGCTTCCGTTCATTTCATTTGAAGCAAAGACTTGTTTCAATTGACGCAATGAATAACTCGAAAACTGCTTCTTTCGTTTTTTACTTGTCGCGACCTGACGACGCAGGCATCAAAATATAGTATCCGGATAATTACATATTGTGAATTGTATGTAGTAAAAATATATTATTTTATATTAAACGAAAATTAAATTAACGAGGCCATTTTGGAGTCCAAGATGGCAGCCATCGAGGTCAGGGAAAGTCTCAAATACCCTACAATACGGGTATTTTCGGAACGGGGACGACGCGAATGTGCCGAAAATCGATACTCGACGTTATTTTGGAATCCAATATGGCGACCATCGGGTTTGAGAAAAAGTGTCAAATACCCTACAATAGGGTATTTTCGGAACGGAGATGCCACGTAAATGCTGAAAATCGATATCCGACGCCATTTTGAAATTCAAGATAGTGGCCATTGGTTTTATGAAGTGTCAAATACCCTAAGATATGGTTATTTTCAGAACGGGAACAACGCGTAGATGCCAAAAATCCAAAATGCGGCCATCAGGATTCAGAACGTGTCAACTATCCTACAATATGGGTATTTTCGAAATGGTGACAACGTGTGAATGCCGAAAATCGATAGCCGGTACCAGTTTGGAATCCAATATAGCGGCCATCGGGCCATAAAAAGTGTCAAATACCCTAAGATGTGGGTATTTTCGGAACGAGGACGACTTGTAGATGCTGAAAATCGACATTCGATGCCATTTGTAGGCTATTTGCACTTCTTATGAAATCGGTAGCCACCATCTTGAATTTCAAGACGGCGTCGGACATCGATTTCTTTCTTCTAGATGTCAGCCCGATTCCCAAAAACCCTCATTGGTAGGTATTTGATAGTATTTCACAGTTTTTCTGAACCAAAGCCGCCATCTTGGATTTAAAGACGGCGTGATATCAATTTTCGGCTCTACGTCTCATCCCCATTCTGAAAATAACCATATTTTAGGATATTTGACACTTTTCCGCAAATCGGAAACCGCCGTCTTGGATTTCAAAATGGCGTCAGATATTGATTTCCGGCCTCTAGACGCCATCCCGATCCCGAAAATACCTATATTTATGAGTATTTGACAGTATTTCCCACTTAATCTGAAATCGGAAGCCGCCATCGTGGATTTCGAAATGGCGTCGGATATCGATTTTCATCCTGTAGACAGCATCCCGATTCCAAAAATACCTTTATTGATAAGTATTTGACAGCATTTCCCACTTTTTCTTAAACTGTAAGTCGCCATCTTGGATTTAAAAATGGCGTCGCATATCAATTTTCGATCTCTAGACGTCACCCCGATTTAAAAAAATTCCCATATTGATGAGTAAACAAACCACCGGACAGTGATAAATTTGACATCCAAGTGCACAGATCTATGCGCATACGCTTAAATGAACCGAGTGAACAAGCAACAAAAGTCATAAAAACTGCACGAATTTAGATCGAACAGCTTCGCTTTAATGCAAAAGAAAGTCCATTTGACAATGAAAGAAGAAATGAACACGAGTCAAGCCAAAACATAGAGTATAAAAACTGACCGAAAGTGGTTCTGTTGATGTTCACGGGGATTTGCTCGAAGAGAAGACAGAATGACTTTCAATTGAAAGTGATGGTTGACAGCTTCATCGTCGCTTGACGATTTTCGATTGGAAGTGACTTTGTGGGGCCCTGGTTTAAGCCCTCTTCTTTATCATTTTTATGTAAAAGGGATTGATGGTTGTATTGATTAAAATTGCTCGCTAAGGCAGCTTGCAGATGACGGGGTTGTGTCCGTTATAGGACCAAGTGCACCGGACCTGCAAGGACCATTGCAAGATACCTTAGACAATATGTCTACTTGGGCTATCAAGCTGGGTATCGAATTCTCTACGGAGAAACCGGAGTTGGTTGTTTTTTCTAAGAAGCATTATCCTGCACAGTTACAGCTTCAGCTAAAGGGTAGAACAATCACTCAAAGTATTTCGGAGTTGGTTGGAAATGCTATCTAACATGAAGCTTTAGTGTGATAATTTATTAGCTAGAGAATGATCTTAGAAGAGGGTAGGTGGATAGTTCCGTTACAGTACGGCAGTATGAAAATTGAATAGAAGTTGAAAATGAGCGAAGGGCCATTAATGCGACAGTACAAAGTCAAACGCACACCTTTTGCCTAACCCGTACGATGTACGCAGAGATTTGAAGTGTGTCTTCAAATCTACCCGAGCTGGTAAATATCACGGCCGTCATGTGACAATGAGAAAACAGGTCCTCTCACTATCATGAGACAAAGTGACCGATCATTAGCTTTATTGTCATTTTCCAATGATCAAGCACTCATCAGAATAATTCTTATCCGAATTTGACATCAACATTACTAACTGATTTAGATGAATTTAAGCAAGTTACCACATGAAATCGGTAGAGTGAATATATTTTTATGATATCTTCGGTACAAGTTACTGCGAGGGGCCTCATAGCCTAGTCAATAAAGGCACGGTATTACCCAGCCGGAGGTGGCGGGTTCGATTCCCGGTCGGGTCGAGAGAATCTTTTCGGGTAGGAAATTTTCTCGACTTCCCTGGGCATAGAGTATCATTGTGCTTGCCACACAATATACAAATTCATGCATTGGTATTGGCATCGAAAGCTCTCCATTAATAACTGTGGAAGTGCATTTATAACACTAAGTTGAGAGTAAGCAATAAGGTAATATGTGCTAACCAATAAGCTTGAAATGCGACCAAGAGGAAGAAGTAACTTTAATAGCAACACATGAGCTAGTAATCACGATGACCACAACACTGTCACGTTCTGTCATGACAAAAAAAACGATGAGATTTTGAAGAAAATCTCTGTCATTGTTTT